TTAGGAGTTATATTAGACCTAATAGGAAGTTAAAAGCATGAGAGCCCTTGGTCCTATAGGGTTTTCTAGTAGTAAGGAAAAAGGGTTTTAATGCATCTATATTTTAGCAGATAAATTATTTTACTAAGATGCTACTCTGCTAGATATTTAGTAATATAGATAAGTCTAATTAATAATATTACTATAAGGGGGATCCATCCCTTTCTTATAGTAATAATAAGTGGAAGCAGCTCCCTAGACTATAAGGCACTTTTTCTTAAGGCAGAGGAGGAAAGGAAGCAGGTAGAGAAATATTAGATATAGGCAGAGGAACATTAAAGATAAGCAGAGGAATGTCAGAGACAGGCAGAGGATCGTTGGTCACTGGTTTGAAAATGATGTCTTTCGTCGGCCCTCACGTCACCACTGAGCTTCAATTAGAATTGCTGCTCACCAGGATTTGTCCCTACACTCAATGAGGAAGAGATGGCGCCAATAAAGATAATAAAGCAACATTTAAGCAGTCTAGAGGGGTGCACCATCTGCCGTAGTCTAGGATGCTTTTTACCCCTCAAGGACTGGGTTAAAATATGTGCAGCATCAGGAAAACCTCACGTGGTACTGAGAGCTGCTCTAACCTATTTAACTACTATTAAGGAAGTGGCATCATCTGTGGTGGCAAAAAATTCTATTATGATATATCCTCACAGGAAACTAGGTATGTAGGTAGAGGAGATGGCTCTAGAATACCAGAGGAGTATGAAACTAGTTAATTAGGCTTGGTCAAAGAACATGCCTGTAGTATATAATATATTAAAATGCTTCAATGCGCACACCGTTCACCAGATCGCCTTGGAAGAGGGAGACAGTTTTGCCTACAATGTTCCATTGCGAATTTTCAAAGATGAGGACTTTGAATGCCTTCAGGATGCAAAACATGTCATGGAGCTGATGCAGAGCGATCATCGCACAGTTGAGTCAGTGGTATCAACAATTGAACTAATCGATTAGACATCCAACTAGACGCCTGTTACCTTAAGGTATGGCACCCCAGTTGAATACTTTCCATAAGACCCGCTGACCAATGGATGCAGTAGTCTGAGGCCCATCAATAGTACCCTCAAGATCGACTCATAGTGAACCTGTCCCATTGAACCTGTCCCATCTGGAATGGTTAGTGTGATGGGATTATTGGGGCGGAGCGTTTGGCTTTGCTTGATCCTGTATTATGATACTGGCAGGATCAAAAGAATGATAAAATGGAGCGGCAGCAAATATTCAGATTTTGGGACCTGGGCCCAGGCAGATAGACTAGCCAAATGGAGAAGGAAGCAGTACAGTAGTCAAAGCCATAAGCGCAGATTGGATGATGTTTTAAAGAGGATACTCATCCTACCTGGCCTAAGAGTGCATGGCATTCAAATTTTTATACTCTAAGTGTGGCCCTTGACAGTACTAATGTCTGTAAAGTCCAAGAACCAGTGCTGCTTTCTCATAGCCTTGCCTCTCAGCACAGGTGCTGAGGGAGAGGGGAGAGAGCTTCATTCAGCTCACACTGGGTCATGAGTCTGATATTAGGACATCTAAACAGCTACCAATTACAACAGTCTTCTGGGAAGCCAATCATAATCCGCTGCGGCCGAAGGAGGCTCTGGCCCTGTTATAGATCCCTCAGCGCTGAGGGCAAAATCATGACCATTTCGACCACTAGGATCTAAATGCCCTAACTAGTTACGTTGCGGCTTAGTCAGACTAACTTCACAATCTTATGGTGGCTTGTCCACTTTTTGTACTTATCCATCACTTAACAGCTTATATCACAAAGATACAAGATTGACATCTTTTATGTAGCGTTGACACCGTCCACTGCGGGTTAACTATGGGCGGTTCCTTCATACCAATACCTGCTCAAACCCACATTCAGTGAGGTCCAACCGTCTATGTTCAGAACCGTCGGGCCGGTCAGGTGATTACCTTCCCGTCCATCCCTTTTAGGCACCAATCTGATAAGCATAAACAGGAAGGCGGTCTGAGCTTGCTTGGCACTGCGGGATTTGCCCCTCAGCCCCTCGTTTCGGTCTTAATTGAGCATTTGCCTGTTTCTGTTGACTGACAACAAGGTTGTTGATAGTATTCCGGGAAATTTGCAAAAGCAAGTTTACTATATCATGGTCACGAAACAAGACGCTAACTTTTATGTGATCCAGATGCCAGATTCACTGTCTCCGCAAGCCTCTAAATATCTCGAATCAGTCGCAAAATGGTTTGCAAAAGCTGAAGTGAAGGCCGAAAACTCGGAGCTGTCCAGATGTACAGACAAGGACCGTTTCGATATCCTAAAGCCATTATTAAAGGAGTTGAACCTTGAGAAAGCGGTATTTGATCAAAAATATGTCTATGAAGCACAGTTTCTCATGATCCACAGGGATTCACGCTATGGAGGCTATCAGGTGACATCGTTCTCCGGAAAAAGGAAGGATTTGATAACCTTTTCTTCCCACTCAACGTCAGCGAGGGTGGAATCGAAGTTGGGGGGAAGACCCTTATCCGGAATAATTTTTTACGATTAACGGTAGACCAACCCTTGAGGGGAAATGTCGACTTTTTGCTGGTTGTTATACCTGAGAAACAGAGTTAAAACCAAGCCTGCACACTTTGCATTACTTAGCACTATGGTGTTGTATTGAAGTCACACTGATAAGCGTTGTTTTCGCATGTATCATACTCAACAGGCTCCGCGAAAGAATTGAGTCTCCGTCATCATTCAGTACCGCCTGTTAAGGGTTTGTACACAAGCACTCCTGATATAGCGGGTCAGGATTATTAGTGCGTGCTAGAAGGCAGAAATTCTATTATTAATTAGAATAATAAAGAGGACTGCCTAATATAGTTCATAAATTCATAACTATACATAAGACCATATCATCTAGAGAAGAAGTTTGCCAAACCCTTCGACTTCGTAGCCTAAAGCGACTAGTTTCATGCCGAATCCGGCAAGAAATCCAAAAAATTGACTGGGTTGAGAGCCAAAGTCTGGATAGGCATCAAACTTGGCAAAAATTCCAGTAGAGCAACAGGGTCAGGGGCAAAAGACTGAATAGATATTAAGATTAGCAGGAAATCTAGCAAAGCAACTAGGTCCAGCATAAGAGACTAGGCAGACATTGTATTTGGTAAAAAGTCCAAAAAATTAACTAGGTTAAGGGCAAGTGATTGACCTTAATTTAGTAAATATTCCAGTTATTCTATACATAGGACCGGTTCCCATAGCTAAAGTAAGTAGCTATTTCTTAATTTCTCCCTACTTTCAGCTAAGAAGTATTCTAAACCTGAGCCATTTCACCTCTTAATTATAGAGGTAGGAGATAACCTTTTTAAGCCAGGGTTACTAGGAGGCTAAGGATTTACAATATATAGTGCTAAGTAATGCTTATAATACCCCACTGCTCTATATGGGCTGCCATCCTGTTAGCAAGAGTAGCTTTGCTCCTGTAGGCCAGACCAGACTGCTTAGATAGACTGGTGATCCTTCTGTACCTGCAATATCTATGCCTCCATAGGCGCTAAAACTCTAGATAAGTGCACGCGGCAGCTGGTGAGAGAAGATTTCCTTTAATTAGCCTTACTCTATATTTTAGTAACATAGTTTGATTCAGGAAGGCGGTGCTTTAGTGATCTTTTAAAGCTATTATTCATAATAATAGGGTGAGAGGAAGCCGCAACCACCCTAGTACTAGACTGGGTGGCTATTAAGGAATTTTCAAGAGATAAGTCCATAAGATCTGCAGGATTCACACTGTAAACACATGACAACATCAATCTGAATGCTTCCATATAGTTGCCTAGGATCTTCTCTACAGCACAATGTGCTTTTAGTAGATTAGCAACACTAGCAATTCTACCATCCCTAAGTTCTTTAAGCACAGCACTTCAATTCTTCTTTGCGCTCAGGGTATCACCTTTAGGGAGTTTTGCAAACCAGCTATGCCCGAATAAGCTTAAATAGGACCAAAATAAAAGCAGGGATGCATACTTTGATTCTCCTTTTTCTAGTAGGAAGAATAAAATTCCAGGGCCGCCCAGCTCATTTGATATAGAGCAATATCTCTGACCAGCATCAGTGAGGGCATGTAGGTCTTTCTGAATTACCTCCTTCTTCCGGCAGTCGCCGCCGAACTGAATCATTTGAGTAAGTACAGTCATTCCATGAGACAGTCGGTCGCATATTCCTTTCATCTTGTAGAAAAGTAAGCATTTCAGCCGCCAGCACACCTTTTCTTCCACTGTTTTAGGTTTTTCAATCACAGACATGAACCAGTTCACAAGCTGGCTGCATGGATTCATGTTTGGACATGGTGGGCTGATGAAGGGAATCATGTCAGAATGAACGGAGTCTGAATTCCACTCTTTAAGATACATCTGAATACTCTCTGGTATAGCAATTCCGATAGCCCATGGGATTTTTTGAAAAAGCGACATTGAAATTCGGAGAATGGCCTGTTTAAGTATAAGACACTTCACTTACCCTCCATCCTCAGTTCTTACCTCGTCTTGGAAGAGAAAGCTTGGATTTAGTTCATGCTTCCCTTCTTTTTCAGCCTCCTCGCGGGAAGCATTAAGCCGGTCAATGAAGATTTTGCTCTCTGCGATCCCCATTTTGGTCGTAGTGAAGAATAGGAAAAAGAGTCACTTCATAATGTCCGCCATTTCTCATTCCAGCCCCCAAAAGGTCATCGCCCGTGACCAGCGCACAGCCTCAGTTTACCCACGCACCGCCTCGCATTTCAGTGGACTGATAAGCTGGAACATCATCCCTGCTCACCGCTTTTTTGTGCTTGTTATAAATTGAGAGTCATGGAAAATGTTCCGTGTGTTCCTCCTCACCTACACAACATCATCTCAGCATGTTTTGGTATTAACAGTCCCTTGTTTACTCTGGAGACGTGTTGCTGACAGGATGCAGCCAGGCTACCCCACCAATTGAACATTCTATCTGGAAAAGGGCTCCAGACATACACAAGATGGGGTCAAAATTCCTTTGCAGGAAGGTATTAAGAGGCGAAAGTACCAGTGGTGTGGCTACCTGGGAGGACAACGATGGTATCTTTTCTCTCTTTGAAGATGGTAGTGAGATCCGATCATTCGAGGAGCCATTGGAAGATCTTCTGCATCAAGCTGGCACATCATCTGCGGTATGGGCCATTGGATCCAACGCGATTTGCAAGGTCAAAACCTGGACGGACGGAATGGAGATGGAAAGCAGCACTCTGGCATTTATCAAGGCCAGTGCTCCTAATATTCCGGTTCCTGACGTCATATACGCTTGGTTGGATGAGGAGTTGAGCCGGACATTTTTGATCCTAAAGCGTGTTCAAGGCAACACGCTGGCCAAAGCATGGCCTTCACTCGCTTCAGAGAAAAGAGTTTACATAGCTAATACTGTCGCCCAGTATTGCTCTGACCTTGCAAAGATTACTTCCGACAAACTCCAGTCAGCAACTGGAAGGGGGGTACTCGAACCGTTTCTGAACGTGCGCGCCAAAGACTCTCATCCGTCGTGGAGACCTCGACTACTAGGACCTATGTCTTCTGCTTCTAGTGAAAAATATCTGCAGAGGATATCAAAGCTCTGTAGTCCTCCTGTTACAGATGCATTCTATTTTTATCATGCGGACCTTGGGCCGACAAACATTTTGATCTCCGAGGATGGAATGGTTGAAGCAATTCTGGACTGGGAATCTGCTGGATTTTATCCAAGGTTCTGGATCTCTCTGAAGCCTTACATAAGCCCCGGCTTCTGCCTCCCGGTTGCCGATGATCGCTATGCTTGGGCAGACCTCTTAATAGCCAAACTCACGGGGAAAGGATTTGTTCTGGATATGACGTGCGTTGAGTGGTACAAAAAGCTGGATTTAGAGTTCTTTGATACAACAACGTTCGATATTTGAGAAAGAAGTTACTATGAAAAAATGCCAAGGATGATATGTTGATGCTAATTGTCTTCCATAAGATGGTGTGGATTTGTTACGCATGGTCTGCTCGTGCTCCACCTCATGGTGCTCCTGGATTTCCGACATGCATTGTTGTGGATAAACCGCGCCATTAGGTGTTACTCCGGCCAGCCGTTCAATGTTTCGTTTCGGAGCTATGCCTAGCCAGCAATTGGGTCCATCTTCCCAGCTAGACTATCACTTTGTGAGAGGCAATTTCCAGACCAACGCTGACGCGCGGAGATGACTGTCGCAAATATAACTTACAGAGCTCAACTAACGGACCAAGCTGATTGTTTGTGCCTCGTGATCGGCCGGCAGTTGAGGCTACAGGCAAACAAACGACGAAAGGAACGCAGAAATAGGCGATTGCGGAAGGGACTTAAGGACAGCTTAGAGAAATAGTTACATTCTTTCGCCTAGTAGTCTGTGGCCGTGTCCTCCAGAGTGTGGCTGTCATGCTCGCTGACGACAAGACACTCATGCGGTTCTCAAGGAGCTCAGCAGTCGACGCAAGACTTAATAGGAACTATTTACATAGTAGATTCCACGAGGATTGATTTCTCTGAATGAAGCTTCAACGGTCCCACATCCTTGCTAATCCCCAAAATGAAGGAGACCTTCCATTTCTGGTGCAGCACTACCGCATACGACAACGAGTTGAAGTCGCAATGGCCTGCGCGAAAAGTGAGCGTTCCACTCAGCACAAGGAGAGTTTCTCTAGGTACCTATCTACCACCAGTGAGCGCCGTTTGACACTTCTCACACACCTGAGCACCCGAGATATTGTCAAATCTGCAATCAGGGTTGGAACACTTTTCGTGACTCGTCAGCTCGCGGAGGGGAAAGTTAGCCATTGTGAGCTCAAGATTTCAAGAGGACGGACGTGGTGGTGATGTGTGAGAAAGATTATGAAAGAAGGTTTGTTATAGGAAGGTGATTAGCCCTGAAGAAACATGGCCATCATGGCAGTATTTATGTCCTTTTCTGGAGGCTATCAGGAAGAAATATGATCAAGATGACTGTCAATAATAATTAACTTGCGAATAAGTGTGCGTTGATCTTGCCAGATAGTGCGCCAATGTCCTATTTTTGATGTCTATGCATAGTGCCCAAAGCCGCCAACAGAAATTCAGTTGGAAATGAGAGTCATAATCCTATTGGACCTGTCACCAATACCTAGTGCACGACAGCTGGTGATGAGTACTAATCAGCCCTGCACATCTATTAGTGCATTACAGGTGACGATGAAATACTAAGCCACCCACATCTAGCGCACGATGGCCGGTGATGAGTACTAAATCAGCCCTGCACATTTGGCGCACTGCAGTTGGCGATGAACCTATGTCAGCTGCTCTCACCTATCGCTCCACTGCTGATGATGAGTACTAAAATCAGCCACCCTGATTTAGCGTACAACAACCAGCGGTGGACGCTAATTGAACCCCACCTCATGCAGTCAAGCACATCACATAGCAGGTTCCGACCTGCATTGCGAGAACTTCTGTGGTTGGCTAGGTGCCAGGGAACTGGGCTAAGATCAAACGGAGTTCCGCGACTCATGGCTCGCTTTGCCAGCTGTTGTACGATAAACGGACCTGGTAGAGGACTGCAGTAGCTGGTCTGGTCCAGTCTACGCATATTCCGCCATCATTCAAAATATCCCCGGAAAGGAGACATTAGCCGATCGGCGTATACGATAGCCATGCGCAGCAGACCAGCAAGGTAGGAAAAAGGGATTTATTTGACTTTGTATAACAGAACTAGTTACAGAATACTCGCTATAGCCCAGCAGAGATGGCGCAATGCGTCTCTGGTATACCTTCGAGGTATCAATCCATGAAACTGTAACATAACGCAAAAACTGGTAAGTATATATTCTATCATCTATAAAAAGCCGCCAGCCTTATCCCAGCATACACACCGCTATTTGACACAGGCCAGTCTGATTGCTATTGATTTACCCTTCTCAGATCGTCTCCTGCACTCTTCCTTCGGCTATGCCTTGGTATAGCCCCGTTCTCCAGTGCTGCGGCATCAGGAATCGAGGATGCTGCAATTCATCCATGGCACACGATTCCCTGACTGATTTCACTGGCGATATGCCTCCCTTCAAGGAAAAATGCAAGCCTGTGAGTAAATACCACGTATCAGCTAATGGCAATGTGACTGACAGTTCCCCCGGACAGAAACGCAATACCCATTATGTGAATGGCATTGGCGCTCAGACCACTGAGGCTAAGTACATCGAACCAGAGTCAGAGAGCTTGTCCAGTCAGGGGACTGTTGTTGAGAATGTTGACGCTGCTGCTCCTGAAAGTTGCGATGACCTCGAGTTTCACGGTAGTACGAACGCATTTCCGGCCGAGTCATCCGGAAAGATGATGACCATCTTCGCGTGGACATCATTGGTATGCCTGGACTCCCTCGATCTGGTGGATGTCATTCCAGAGCCTGACGAGAAGTCTGGACTGGTGGAGGGACTTTTCATGCATAATGGCTACCTAGTACCTGTGTTCGTGCCTTCGCAATATGCCGAGCAGCGGAAACATCATGTTACACATCGTTCCAAAGCCCGGCAGGTCGAGACACGCCTCAAGGAAACGGCTAGAGATCGCTGCCCTCGGATCCAACCTCCGCTGGTACCCGGCACAGGATGTCTATCCTTACCACCTAGTCCAACAACTACGACCACGCCCACAGAAGCGACAGATACTGCATACTCCAGCAAAGTGATAAACTGTGGAAATTTAAAGGCCTTCGCTGCCTGGGCACGAGCATCGCCATAAGTTTTGAAGACATATGGAACTGGAATTACTTTCTATGCGAGTTTGGTTTTGTCTCTATATTTTGTAATTAATTTACTTCTAACTATGTTTAAGCATACTTACTGTCTCTTCATAGCTGCGCACGAGCAACTATGGCGCAAATATTGACACTACTCATCATCATACTAGTTAACTTGTTGCTGCTTGCATGTGGTTTTAGGCCCATGCGGCTATTGTTTTGAGCAGGGAAGATACTTGATTGCTGTTCGAGGCCTGCCAATCAGTAGACAGTCTTTCTTTTCTGTTGCAGCCACAATCTTGTCAGCAACTTTGGCCGATTGCTAAGATAGTAGACAGCCTGAGAGCCGTAGAGCCATCTGCGCCAAATATCAACAAACACAGCATAATGCTACTCCGGGCTACTAGGGTTACCAGCATGGACTGAAAAACAAGACGGTTTGAAGGAGATTCGCAGCAAACCAGCGGTGGAAGGTATCTGTTGGAAGTCCGGGAATATAAAAAAGACGAGGGCCTTGGTTGATGGCAACCAATTACCAATAGTTCGTTGACAGTAAGGCTACGCAAGACTAAAGAAGTCAGTCCAAGTTGCTATCATTTGAGGCCTCGTCCGTTGTCGAGCACTAGGGGCAAAATATCAAAGAGAGCCTGACCCTAAGCCTAGCCACAGATAGTCTGATGACTGGACAATAAATAGAGCCTTCCTACCTGCTTTAATTATCTTTCTCCTTGCCCTCAGACTCTCGCCCTGTATATTTATTCTTTATATCTAATAATTAAACTCTGTTCCATAGCTTTGCTCCAGAAAACTCTCCTCTATAAAGGTAAAGAAGTCACCCCAAAGCATGGGGATAAAGTAACCTGTATATTTACTAACCTAACAGCTGCTAGACAGGATATTCCTATGTATATTTGAATATATCCACTTTGCATCTTAATTCTCACTATTAGTGGTAGATGCCAGGCACATTTAGAATTCTCATGATCTCATCCACTAGGAATGTAATCACTGTTCTTCTCACTATTATAGGCCTGCAGCTTAAGTTAAGTAAAGAGACTATAGACATATTATAACAGGGCTTTAAGTTTTTTATTAGTAACTTAAAGTCTAAATGTCTAATAGTCTATAAAGAAGAGAGAACTTGCTCAGATTATGTGAGAGCACCTATGGAATGCTCCCTATCGAATGGTAGATAACATGGTAGTAGCAATGCCTTTATAGTAGAACTAATTACTGAGGTGTGAGTATCTCACACCTTAGTAGTTAATAATATCTCTATAGGTCATGTGCCACACATATAATCCCTATAGTTTAGCTATATATAGGTTCACTATATCTAATAACTATCTCCCCTCTTTATATACTACATCTCTATAGTAGGAGATAGTATTATAGCATCTCCTAACCTATATAAATTATATCTCCTTATTAGTCTATTTAGAATGATTTTATCATCATTACTTAGTATTATTTATTAGTGTAAGGTAGTAATATTATTATTAACTAATATATTACTTTCTTAAGTAATATTTATTATATAGTAGTTTAATCTTATTATTATAAATATTCTAAATAGCTTTATATAGTATTTACTTAGTAGTATAGAAGCTTCTCCTCTTTATAGATTTATAGATTCTCTTCTCCTTCTTCTCTTCTCTTATTAATAGTATTAAATCTTTTATTATATAAGTACTTTATCTTATTCTTTCTTATTATATATTCCTATTTAGCTTCCTTAATTATCTTTATAATTATATTATCTATATTATCTTATTCTATTTTATTTTACCTTAGTTATTATAAGTAATTRTAGTYAYAGGTTCTYCTRTTATAGGCTATTATAATCTATTTATATTARTATAACTATATAGTTATTTAATTAAATATATATAGCTCTTAGTATAGAGATTACTTCTAATTATTACTTTATATCTTCTAATTCCATTACTCTTATTTCTCTATATTTAGAGTAAGTTATATTTATTTTTATTATATAGATTATAGTATTTTATATTCTTTATCCCTATTTTACTAATTCTCCTATAGTAGCTATAATAGATAATATATTTCCTTTATTTCCTCTTCTCTTTATTATATCTCTTTACTTTATATTATATATTTAATACTCCTTATAGTATCTTTTTATTATTTTTATTAGTTTAGAGCTTTTCTAGATATATTTTTCTTTATTTCTTTTTTATATTATTAGCTATAGCCTTATTAACTTATAAATACCTTAATTCCCTTACTATATTTACTAGAATTTAGATAATTACTAACTCTATATATAGAAAATACCTTATACTTATACCTTCTATTATGCCTCCTAGGGTTATACCCCCTCTACTTATACTACTACTACTACTACTAATACTACTACTCTTACTTATAGTTATTAGGGCTATCCTACTAGTTATAGATATACTATCTCTTATACTAGTTATAGAGGTAGTATATCTTATAGCTAGTAAGATAGTGCTCTTATTATTATTATACTACCTTCTCCTTCTCCTCTAATATTAGATCCTAGCTACTACTACTATTATTATTTATAGTTACTTATATACTATATAATAGGTGTGCTTCCTACTTACTTAAATTACTTTCTAAGTAGTAGGAAGTACATCTATTATATAAGATTATACTAGTTATACTAGTTAGTATATTATTCTCTTAGTTCTTTTACTCTATATATCTTACTTACTCTACTCTTTTAAAGTTTTCTTATATAGCTCTACTACTAGCTTACTATATTATAATACTCTCTAGTACTACTAGTTATACCCTTACTATAAGTAAGGCTAATACTTTAGTAGCTATTATTAGTATAGTCTAGGCCTTTAAGGTCTAGATCTATATTAGTAGTAGTCTGCTCCCCTATAGTATACCTCTAGTATCTATTCCTACTAGGCCCCTATCTCTAACCCTATCTTTTAAGATAGTATATAGCTCCCTAGCTCCTACCCTTAATAGGATTTTTATTTCTATCCTAGCTCCTACTAGTTTTAATACTCTTACCCTAGCTCTAGCTAGTCCTAATACTATTACTATAGCTCTAGCTACTTAGCTTAGTGTATTTTTTAGTATTATTATAGCTTTTATCTATTTATTTTATAGGTAAGTCTATGTCCTTCCTACTTTACTTATTCTAGCTAATTATATAATAGGGTTTAAGACTACTCTCCCTTTAGGGGTTAAGATATTATTATTTTTATTTTTCTTTAGATACTATATATATAGCCTTTAGGCCTAATATAATATATTCTCCTTATTAATTATATCTTTTCTCTTATAGATTTTATAAACTACTTATAGGCTTTAGTATCTTTAATATACTTATAGGGTTCCTATATATTATACTTATCTTCCTATCTATACTATTAGACTAGGTATTAATCTTTATTATATATTTTTTAGTATTTAAGGATAGTAGCTATCTCCTATTCTTTACTATCTTTAATAATTATAGGCCCTAGGTAAGGTGCTTACTTAGCATCTCCCTTATATAATTTAAGTAGAGAGATATAGAATATATTATATATTCTTCCCTATAAGTCTAGTAAGCATAGTCTATATACTTATTTTCCCTATTTCTTAATAATTTTAAATAGCCTAAGCATTCTACTTACTAGCTTCTAGTTTAGCCTAGAGATAATGATATTCTTTACTTATAGTATTATATAGTCTTTAATATTTAGTAATATTTTAGTATACTTCCTATTATACTACTTCTTTATCTACTCTTTTAATTTTATAAGTAGTATATATAGCTTTATATAGTTCTTATTTAGCTTTACTACTCTATTAATTATAGCTAGTACCTTAGTATATTCTTCTAGAATTTAGATATTAATCTATAGGCTAGCCTTAAAGCCTATAAGTATATTTTATAGTAATATGCCTAGTATACTATGCATAGTATTATTATAGATAAACTATACTATTAGTAACTAACTAGCCTAGTCATCTTGCATCTAGCTAATATATACTTATAGATAGTACTCTAGCACCTGGTTCATGTATTTAGTTTACCTATTAGTTTATAAATAAAATACTATTAATAGCCTTCTATATACTTCTAGGTAGTAGTAGAGGGTAGACTAGAATATACTAGTAAATAAGCTACCTCTATCTAATATAAGGTTTATTAGCATACTAAATAGTGATATAACCTTCTTATAAAATATTTCTACTAGCTATATTATATTAATGTCCTTCCTTATAGGGATGTATAGTGAGTATTTAGTAAATAGATTAATAATAACTAGCACTATATTATATACCTTCCCCTACTATTTTAAGGGTAGGAGGCCTATAATAAAGTCTATGCTTATCTACTACACTAGCTTTATAGGAGTAGGTAGTGGTTCTAGCTTACTATAGGGCTTATACTAGTATACTATAATTCTCTAGTAGATATTATACTTATCTATATACCTCTTAACATCTTATACTAACTTATACTAATAGTATCTATATTTAATATTTTCTAAGATGCATCTATATTAGTGATAACCCCCCTATAGGTTATTATAGTTTATTTTTATAATTTCTATATGCAGCACTGTGGATTTTAGTATATAGATATAGTTTCTATATTATAGAAGTCTATCTATAACCTTCTATATTAAGAGACTTAGCTTATCTATATCTTCTATAGCTATATCTAGTAGTTTCTACTATATAAATATATTAATATCTTAAACTATGTATAGTAGGTCTACTATAGCTACTAGGATTTCTATAGTATAGGCTATTTTAGAGATAAGTATCTTATATATATTACTTTATAGTACTAGGAGGTCTAGACCCCCTGTATTACTAGTAGTATCTCTCTTATCTATTAGTATATTCTATCTATGGGTAGTAGCTTTTATTTAGATATCTATAAGATACTCCTAGCTTATCTCTTATACCCCTCTAAGCTATGCCATGCACACTTTTATTTTATTTTATAGAAGGTAGTTATCTAGTTATAGAAGCCCTATATATAGCTTATTTT